GAGCCCCTAACATTAATGAACCCATTATCACAATCCTTACCAATCATTACTCATGTTTTGCAAAATTTGAGAAGTTAAAAGTGATTTGCTCAAGGTCATAAGGCCAGACTTAGCTATAAGTTGACTCTTGAACACCGTGTTCACCTTTTACACAATCCTACCACATAAATACACACTGGTTTGGTTGGATCTATACCATGGTGAATAGTGTGTGTGTGTGTGTGGGGGGGGGCGAGGGGGTGTTTTCCCCTACTTAAGAATGTCTGTTAGCAAAATAATTCAGGGATGTGATCTGAGCTAAATATCTGTAAGCTCTTATTTGGTAGATACCATATGTATTCTGATAAACTTGAAAAGAAATCAATAGTAATGTTAATTATCATGTCAAAAATTAATTTCCCATGTAGACAAACTAAAATAAACCATTCTCAAGCTCAATTGTCCATAAAAGAGTTCAGACAGTTATAGCTTTAAGGGTATTAATCATCATCATGAGGGATCTAATGAATATTCATGGTTTTCATGGTAATTGACTGGTATTGCCTTCCATCTGCATGGGTTTGAGTACAATTTTATGACCCAATGGTCACATCCAGATACTTCCGTATCAGGAATTCTGGAAACAACAGGCGTTCTCTAGAATTTAAGAATCAGGCTCCCAGACAAAGCAAAACATTTTCCCCAAGTGACTCTGGAGACCTGCCCCAATGCTGGAAAGCCTGACTCAGCTCACGTTTGCGCATGCCCTCTGTCTGGCCCCAGGCCTTTCGCACCCATCCCGTGAGCCTGCCACCCCCATGTTACTGACACAGGCTGCCTCCCTAACTGGGTCTCCCTGCTGGGAATGGGCAGAAAGAGCCCTGGCCGGGAAAGGTGTGCAATGATAGACCCTTCCTGTCACCGTCTGGTGGGCTGCAGGAACAAGGCCTAAGATAGTAACCCCCTGATCTGCCACCTTCCCCAATTGCTAGGGAGAATGGCACTGGCAAACAACAGACAAATCCTATTTTAGTTTATAATTCTAATTTTGTTTGTTTGGTTTATTTATTTTATTTGTAATTTTTAATTAGTCGCTACCTAAGTTATTTCCCAGGAGAGAGGCAGAAGCTTACAGCTACCCAATAGCACCTGGGTTGCAAAAAGGGGCAGGGAGAGATACAAGACACAAGACAATATCAATAATCAAAGATAAATCAAGCCCAACCTTCCTACAACTCCAGACAGATGCTGAGCTCCCCTGAAGGCTTAATATAGGAAAATGTGGCAGACAATGCAAAAGCAGAAAGGTGCCTTCGGTGTCTTTAAACAGAGGTGTCAAATGGCCGTAGGGTCCAGCCCTGGAAACACTCAAGGTCCTGTAGGTAGGGGGTGGCCCAGCTAGATGCAGACTTAACTCACTGGGTATTCTTCAGCCACTTAGAAACACAAGATGTGAGAGAAATCCCATAAACCTAAGAGGCCTGGGGAGGGGACAGGCAAGTTGATCCTAAACCAAAGATTGCACAGGCCAGACACAGTAATACTAAAGCCACTTCCGTCAGTGCACGCGTTTTCCCAAATCCCAAACGCTTATTTCAAGTTGCAGTCTAGATGGCAAAATCCCATGGAATTTAAACAATCCCTTGGAGTTGCATATAATGGGATCTGACCTGTGAGGTTATAACATCAAGGGCTGTTCTCGGGGAACCACACGAACAAGAGCTTTTACTTTATGGCTTACTTAGGACTGATTATAAAATCACCAAACCTGACTCAGCAAACATCGGCCTTATAGGGCTCTCTGTCTGTGGGCCACAGTAAAGACCTCATTCGGAGGATCTGTACCTGCCCAGTGAAACCTTAGCTGAGTCTGGTCAGACACACTGTAGCTGGATCCCAGATGGCTGCGGACTTGATTGAGTAGCCTCTTCCCGGGGACCCTCAGGCTGCGGTGCTGGGCAGTGCAGCTCAGTCAGGCTGTGCTGTGTGTCTCCTTGTCCAGGCCTATTCAAGGGTCTTCCATCTCCCACAGAAACAGACACATTTTATTAGTTGTTCCAGCACAACAGCGAGAAATGTTGACATCAGAAATTTTTAAAAATATAGAAAAGAAAAGCCACAAACTGGGAGAAAACTTTGGCAAAAGACAAATCTGATAAAGAGTCTTATCCAAAATATGCAATGAACTCTTAAAGCTCAGTAAGGAAACAAGCAAGCAACCCAATTAAAAACGGGCAAATGATCTCAAATGACACATCACCAAATATGATATGCAGATGATAATAAGCATATGAAAAGATGCTGAGCATCACACGGATTCATGCCACGGCAAATTAAGATGAGATACCACACTGCACCTATTAGAATGACTAAATTCCAAAACACTGACAATACGAGGTGCTGGTGAGAATGTGGAATGAAAAATGGCACAGCCACTTCAGAAGGCAATTTGGTGGTTTCTTACAAACCTAAACATATTCTTACCAGACAACCCAGCAATCATGCCCCTTGGTGTTTACCCAAAGGAGTTGAAAACTTACACCCACACAAAAACCTGCAAAAGCCTCCAGAACTCTAAGAAATAAAGGTCTTGTTTAAACAACCCAGACTATGGTATTTTGTTACAGCGGCCCAAGCTGACAAAGACATCCACACAAAATCCACACAAAAGCTATTTATAGCAGCTTTATTCATCATTGCCCAAACTTGGAAGCAACCAAAATGCCCTTCAGTAGGTGAATATACATCCAGATAATGGAATATTACTTAGTGATGAAAAGAAATAAGCTATCAAACTATGAAAAGACATGAAGGAATTTTAAATGCATATTTAAACAGTAAAAAGATCAGTGGTTACCAGAAGTTTAAGTAGAGGAGGGGTGAATAGGCCTAGAGCACAGAAAACTTTAGGCCAGGGAAAGTATTCTGTATGATGCTCTAATGACATAATTTGCCAAATTCTGTAGAATATACAACAGGAAGAGAGAACCCTAATGTAAACTATTTTTATAGGAGGAAAAATGTTTTCTTTACCCATCTTTGGTTCTCAGATGAGCCACTGTAATAAAAGACAGGTTATAAAAGACAAGAGAAAAACGCAGTTTATTGACATATACATCTCATATATACATGAGAACCTTAGAGAAGGGTAACTCAAAGATGTGGCTAAGAATTCAAGCTTATATAGCATTTTCAACAAAGAGCAGATGCAAACCAAAACAACAATGAGGTACCATCTCACATAACAAAGAGCAGACATTTGTAGATAAATGATAGGACAAAGGAAAGTGGTCTTAGGCTTCCAAGGAGAAGCCTAACTGTAGGAAAGTCAACTCATGAGAAACTAATGGTAAATAGTGGCTAGTCAGTAAAGTTTGTCATACAGATTCCTCTGATGCCCCCTCCAGGCTGATAAATGTCTTACCTTAACCACAGGTTGTCCCAGTGATTAAGTTTTGTCCTTCCTACTAGAGAGAGGAGGAGGGACACCTGTGAAAATTTATGTCTTGCTTTTAGGCAAATAGGGGAAAGGGATTTTTGTGTATCTGCTTCTTCTCAATGCCTTCAGCTCAAAATAATCTTTATGCCAAAGTGATATATTTGGGGGTGACACATTCTGCTTTCTGTCACTATAGACTTTGGTGGATAATGATGTACAAATGTTGGCTCATCGTTTGTGACACATATACCACACTGATGTGGGGGGTTGATGGTGGGGAAGGCTATGTATGTGTGATGGGCGGGGAGATAGAAGGACTCTATACTTTCTGCTCAATTTTGCTGTGAACCTAAAACTGCTTTAAAAAATAAAGCCTATTAATTTTTTTAAAAATACAGAAAAGTACAAATTAGAAAAAAAATAGGGCCATATCCTACCTACCTTTCTCATCTTTTTAAAATGCATCTACAATGCTGTTGTTTTTAATTGGAGGAAATACACAGCCATTCCCCAAGAAAACTGTTCAAATGTCAAGACCCATAAGCCTTAAGGGGATCCAAAACTCTAATCGAATACTAGCTATTAGTAGTAATAATACTATTAATTATTGACAATAACAAAAATAATTCAAGTGTTGTATTTCCTTTTAGATCAGCAGATATTTTACTAAAGAGTGCAACAAAAATCTATAAAATTCCTAAATAGTGCAATTAATAATATCCAGCATTCCTTAGGATGGATGATAAGCAATACAGAATGCTAAGAAAGAAAAAAAAGAGAGAGAGAACCCATGGACATGGACAGCTCTATGAATCAAAGAATCTATTTAAAAGCACAAAATCTCTTTGAAATTAGCATTACAAAGAAATAGAAAACATTTACAAACCCACCAAGATATGTCATCAGTTGGCCTCTGTCAGCTAATGAAAAAGGACAACAATGTGGTGATTGCGAGGGGGGAGGGGTGGGGCAGGTGGAAGAGGGCATAGAGGGGATAAATGGTGATAGGAAAAATAATAAAATAATACAGAATGCTAAGATATTTCAAATATCTCCTATAATTTACAAAACAACCTCAATTTACAAATTAAGAAACTGATAAACAATGAGCCCCAAGTCACCCAGCTAAGTGATAAAAATGGAGTTCTATCTCAGATCAGCAGAATTCCAAAGCTAAGGTGGGTTCTTAAGGTTGTCACTGCACCATCTTCATCAGAACTTGTTAGAGAAGAGTTCTGCTGATTGTTGAGGGATGATTGATTTTTATGGGTCTTGATTGTGGGTATGAAAGGTGATTTGTGTATATATACTCTGTGTTCTAGCTCAGAAAATTTATTGTTCCATGTGAGTAGTACATTCATTACATTAATGTATTTTCTAAATAAAAATGAATTTCCAATTAAATCACTTCCTAATGAAAACAAATGTATCCTATCTTATTTTTCACCTCCCATTTTCCTCAGTTTCCATCAGAAGAATTTTAACCTCCTTCCTTAGAATAGATGTTTATATAACTGACCCACCATTGCAAGATACTGGAAGCCTTTATGTATTCACTTTATGAGATACCACTATGTATTCACTTTATGAGAAGCCCAGTGGATGAAATTCATGCATGGGGAGGGTCCCCTCAGCCCAGCCTGCACCCTCTCCAATCTGGGACACCTTGGGGGATGTCTGACTGACGGTTTAGGCCGATCCCGGGTATCGGGCCTAAACCGGCAGTCAGACATCCCTCTCACAATCCTGGACTGCTGGCTCCTAATCACTCACCTGCCTGCCTGCCTGCCTGCCTGGTCACCCCTAACTGCCCCCCACTGCTGGCCTGGTCACTCCCAACTGCCCCCTCACCAGCCTAGTTGCCCCTCACTGCCCCGCTGCCAGCCTAATAGTCCCCAACTACCCTCC